AATAAAATATTATTAGCACAGGAAAACAGAGGGGCCAAATGAAAGCTAAGCAATACTAAATGATAACAGCTTTTAATTTCCTGTAATGTCTGACAAACCTTCTTCCTCATGTTTTACTGCCGCTCTAGCAACAAAGGACTGGCTAAAGTCAGCATGGGCCCAGGGAACCATTTCAATTAGTATTTCAAAGTGCAGTTAAAATCAATACTCTTTGCCACACAGGAGGGCAACATTTATCCGCTCCCTCAGTCTTTCATCCTTTTGTAGGTGAGGCACCCAGTGCAATGGGGTTAGCAGCTGAGGCTGCAAAGGGCCAGAACTGGCATTCCAAGTTAAAGAGATTCTCAACCATTCTGTTTGGGAAGCTCTGTTTCAGTGATTTTTGACACCCTCCACACACAGCCTTAAAGAGTAATAAAATTCACTACCCCATGTATCTAACTGTAAGATAAAATGCAAAATAAAATGGGTAAAGATACTTCTCTCCAATATCTCAAAGGGTAATAAAAACGCAGGAGTTATTACCTGGGAAACTGGAGGTTCGTGAAGGTCTAACTGAAGTCTCTGTACAACATCAGTGAAGTCCTCAGCATGAAAACAAATCACATCTTTGGTTATGCGAGGTTGGTCACTCCTAAGATGGACACAATGAAGTTTTAGGAAAATCATCTCACAATGGAAATAAGGACAAATTTCAGTGTTCCTGTTCCTGGAAATGCTGCTACTAGCACAGAAATAGGTATATAGCTCCCAAGGACAAAGTATACATTTGCTCCTTTAATCAACTTGAACAATAAACAAAACACTAAAAAAGCTGTTTAAAAATAAGAAAATTAGATGTTACAAAACTAAAACAACAGTGACCAGAAGCAGAGTTTTAGTCTAACTTGGTTGCATTTGTAATCTTTTCACCACTTTACCCACCATCTCAATGCCAACCTGTGATAACATCATCACCCACACAAAGATCACACCTTCCAGTTTTCAAAGTATTGAAAGGGGAAAAAAACTAAATAATCTTTCATTTGAAATACTCAGAGCAAACTCTATAATAATATTGAAGGCCCTGACATAAATATGAAAAACAAAGTAAAAAAAAAGTTTTTAAATGAGCTGAATTCTATGTTCTGAGCTTTGTTAAAACTGTGCCCCCAAATAAATGTAAAAGGGTGTAACCATTATGAAACACAGGATGGTGGTTTCTACAAAAATTGAAAATAGAATCACCACATGATACAGCAATTCCACCTCTAGGTGTACACAAAAGACTGAAAGCAGAGACATAGGATATTTGTTCAGAGCAACCAAACGGTGGAAGCACCCCAAGTATATCCACGGACAGCTGAACGTTTGAACAAACTGTGGCATATACATATAATGGAGTGTTAGCCTTCAAAAGGAAGGAAATTGACTCCTGGTTCAATATGGATGACCCTGGAGGATATTACGCTAAATAAAAGAAACTCACAAAAGACAACTATTGTATGATCCCACTGATATGAGACATTTAAAGTAGTCAAATTCACAGAAGCAGAAAGCAGAATGATGGTTAGCAGGAGCTGAGGGAGAGGAGAACAGGGAGCTATGGCTGGTGGGCATAGAGTTTCAGTTCTGCAAGATGGAAAAGTTCTGGAGATCTCTTTCACAACAATGCCCATATCCCTAACACCACTGAACTGTACACTTAAAAATGGTTCAGGTTTTACTTTTAATTTTGTTATGTGTGTTTTACAATTAAAAAAAAGTCCCCAAACTTTTAAATTGAGTCTACATTTTCTTAGACAACATTAATCAACTTTGCAGTTGAGTTCCATTAACTTACCATTCACCAAACTGTACAGCTTTCAAAACCCCAACAGCGGCAGTACTCTGCCAGTCAAACCCCTGGCCCACATGATCAGCATGCGCTCTTGTCCTATCTTCAAAGAGGACTTCCCGGGGTTCGCTGGTCCGAGGTAGGTACTGGAGATTTTTTATTTCATTCATTGATCTGGAGTTGATTTGGTTGTGAAGTAAAGGGAAAGACAAAAGTATTAATAGTAATTAGGCAAAAAAGTTGACCAAGACACCAAATTTCAAATAAGAGGAGGGCTGAGAGGGTTCAATGACTTTTATCATTAGTATTTAACAAACACACTCTATTGTAATGTTTAATGTGATTACCTTTCTCTCTTGGTATGTCATGATAATATAGAAACTATGTCTTGGGCTCAAATGTAGTGTTTGAATATATAATTTAGTTGTCTAGTAACAGAAAATAAAATTCAAAGTTCAAGGCTACATGTGGCTTTACTCTGAGTCATTTTGACTCTCAAAATACCTGTAACTCTCACAACCTTCTAGGTGAATATTTTATAACACTGAATGGGAGTATGCCTTGAAAGCTTGCCACTATGAGAAAAACCCCAGAGGAAAAGATAAAGACTTGACAATATATAAACAAAAATTTCCTAAGGGGAGACCTGAAGCATAAAGAAATCTGAAACTAAAAGAAAAACTTACAACATTAAAAAAAAGTTAATAGTCATAATGTACAGGGAAAATTTACAAGTGAATATACCCCAATAGAAATACGGGTAAAGGAAATTAAAAGGGAATCACAAAAGAAGTACAAACCACTCAAAGAAAAGCAAATTAAAATGACACATATCTATCCAATCAGATCAACAAAGTTAAGAATGTTAGTAGAGGCTATAGGGAAAAATTTATATTCCCATCCATATAGTAAGGTGAGGATTCACAAAAGAACAAAAAACAAACAAACAGAGGAGGCCTCACTCTGATGACTGTGAGCTGAGTGGACCAGACGAAGGGACTGACCACTAGAGACTTAAGACAGCTCTTCGAATCATCTAGACAAATGATGTTCAAACTGTGTTCAAGTCTCAATCATTTTTATAAGCTGTCAACTAAAACAAGTGCTTTTGCTTATTTGAGAAAAGTGATTGTTTACCGTCGTCTTTTGAAGGGTGACTTTGGCATATCTGCTGTAGGGATCATCTGCTCTCCTGGCCTTACCCACATGATGGGCCCATCATCACTCTGGGACCGACACTGGAGTCGGAGGCTGGAAAGTGTACCCCAGGGCAAAGTCATCTAGAAGTCAGATGAATTAGTCACATGAAAAAATTTTAGACTATTTACAAAATAGATAGTCTTTAGGTAGCCACCCCACCTAAAAGAAAACTCTGGGAAGCTTATTTTTGTGTATGTATACGAAGAAATAAATGTATTAGATAGTAATTTCTATAAACAAAAGAATACTGAAGTTAAATATTTTATAGCAACCGTTTTTTAAACATTTCTATTCAAAACATTGGGTAAAATTTCATTTTAACAGCCAAGATTAGCTTAATACTTTTAAATGAAAAGTATCCACTTACGTAATGATCCGAACTTTAATAATATGAATTAACACTCACTTTCAGAAATGGTGATTCTTCTAACATATCAAGGAACTCTGGGAAATAATCACCAACTTCTTCATCTACTGCTCCAACAAGACTTATCTGCCGCATAGGACCTGCTCGGTAGGTGCCACAGCAGTACGTCCTGTTGACCTGAGATAAAACCAAAGAAGGGAAGAAAGGCCTGAAGGTACTCTATAATATATTTAAAGAATTAGAATAGGGCATTGTTTCCAATGTTGCTATTTCGTCTTCATACTAAGAACTCAAAGGTCAGTACCTTGGACAAAGTCAACTGTTACAGAAAAGCACCGACACACACTGACAAATACATTGATATAAGTTCCACACCCGAAATTGCACAGTGCAAGTTAGTCTATGGTCCCAACATCTCAAGGAAATATTGAAGACATTACGATAGACTTAAACTTCTTTGAGAATAATAATTTTGAACTCTGTAAACACTTGAAAGTGATCTTTATTTAGGAAAATTAGTAAATAAACAATAAAATTGGCAGGGCAACCATGGTCAGATTAATCCTCTGTATTCATTCTGTACTCTCTACCTTGAGAGCCTTCACATCAGGCCAAATAGCAGGCTGACTGTTAACCAACCCAATCTTCCATATAAGATCCTCCACCCTAGGGAGGCTCATCTTTTTCTCTATCCAACTTACGCCAATGATTTTTCTCTTGAATCTGTCCTACTTGGAATATCCTCTTTAAATGTCGCCTGTTTTGCCTTAATAGAAAGCATAAATGACCATCTAGTATTTCTTATACAATTCTTTACTATTAGTTCTTTAGCAGCATTTTCAGAACCATCCATTTTTTTTCATAGACAATTTAACATCACTATCATGCATACACACACACACACACACACAGAAAAAAAGGTCTTAGGTCTTGTTCTCAAATAGCAAACATTTATTTTTTAATTCCTTATCGATTTTCCCCCCAAGATCACTCTAGGACTAGGTGATCTTTAAGCAGCAACAGCCCAGCCCAGAATTACCTTGCGTATATTTGCACAAGTTACCTTCCATTCGTTTGTATGATCATCATGCTATAAAAAGCCAGGGGAGGCAGACTGGGAAAGAGCATGGTCATGGGATGCAGGAATAAAGGGAGGAAGAGAAAGTAAAACAGCTTTTCTAAGCACTGGTCTAACCTTTCTCAGCCAAGCACCTCAAAATGATTAAAGCAGAGTTAATTTTCAACATCAGTTCTAGAAATATCAGTCTCTCCCATTCCCAATTACCAGACGTTTCTCCACCTAAAAAGACTTTCAAACTATACATGATGATGGCATCTTATGAGAGAAAATTCTAAAGACTTATCACAATTTAAAATTCATGTAACTCAATACCAATCCTGAAGTACACTGCCTATAGTCATTTTCAATTTACTTGGTCTGCTAGCTTTGAGAATATGCAACTCAACACATTTTTAATCTGAATTTATATTTTTAGATCATAGTACTCCAAGTTTTCCTAATTTAAACACCATTTAATTCAACAGCACTGAACCTGAAGACAACTTAAAATGCAAATACCTAAGATAATTAATAGGTGACATAAAATATCCTTTTCCTATTTAAAAAGAGAAAGTAAACCTGAAATGGGGGAATTGTTAAATTTATGTTTGCTGAGGCTAGAAATGAAGTAATCAGCTATTAAACTCTGTTTTTTAAAAAAAAGTAGTGGTAGTAGTAAAGCTGATTAGAGTGTCTATCACAAGTAAAAATGTTTAAATGCTAATGTTTGTTCTGCATTTAAATAATTAACAGCAACGCTTAGAAGATGGACGGCATTTATTACCAGAAAGTCAACAGCTACCACCTATGTGGCACTGATGCCAAACAAGAATATTACGAATTATCCCCTAGTATCTGATCTACCGTTCTTACCTACCATTCTGGATTTTAGTAACAGAACTTCCTGGGCATACAGCTCAACTAGGCTCCTTGGCAGCTAAGCGTGGCCTGTGACAAGGTTCTGGCCAATGAAATGCTAGCATAAGTTACATATGCAATTTCCAGAACATGTCTTAATAAGTGAGCAGCCTGCTCTCCACTTCTTCTCTCTCTCTTTGGAGGGCTAGGTTCAACCATGCATATGACACCAAAGGGAATGGCAGAAGGAAAGCAGAATCCTGGATGACCTCATGGAACACCTTTGGACTTACTATTCAAGAAACTTTTATTTTGTTCTGGCCACTATCTGTGATTTATAGTGGTTTAGCCTGCAACTCGTATACTCTGTACTGAGGAAGGCAACAGTCTATTGCACAGATAACATCTGGATTATTATCTCCTGCTCTGGACTAAGAAAAAAAGTCTATAACTAGAGCACCCCCAAAACAGATTAAGATAATCAGAATTTCCAAAACAAGAACCTGAGATTCTAATATGTATCTGAAATGAACAACCTCAGATTATTCTTAGGATCTGACAAGTTTGAGAAGCTTTGGCCTGGAAATCGCACTCAAAAGCAAAGAACAAGTTGAGTTCTACCACCCAAGTGTGTATACTGCCGTGAAGGAAGAAACAAGTGTTAGGATGATTGGAAGAAGGCAAGTAGAGACCAAAGAACAGAAAAACACTAAAGCTGCCATGGGAGCATGGAACATAATGCCAGCAGGGAAAAGTTAGCCTTTAGTAAAATCTGAAGGTGAGTGGGGAGGGGAAGATTGTGATATCAAGGAAGAAAATACCTCTAAGAAAATAGTAACTAGCTTTGCATGCATTCAAAAAATTTAATATAATAGCCATAAAAGTTTAAACAAGTATGTGTGAATACTATACATACTGCTGTCAATATATATGTAGTCCTTTCGATTAGACACTCAACTTTAAAAGTTATCCTGTACCAATTGCTGGGAGAGTTAAACATGCTCAATTGTGCTCTCAATACATACATCCCTGTTTGTTTGCTTTTTAACCCTCACCTAAAGATATGTTTCTCTTTACTGATTTGGGAGAGAGAAAGAGACAGAAACATCAATCAGTTGCCTCCTGCATGGTTCCTACTGGGGATGGAACCGCAACCCAGGCATCGAACCAGCGACCTCTCAGTGTGTGGGACGATGCTCAAACAACTGAGCCACACCAGCCAGGGCTACATACACCTTTTAGTAAGTCATTTAAAAACTTGAAGATATAAGCTTCATTCATAACTGCCAAAAACCTGGAAGCAACTAAGACGTCTTTAGTAAGTAAATGGATACACTGTGATACATCCATATATGGAATATGACTCGGTGCTAAAAAGCACTGAGCTATCACGCCATGGAAAGACATGGAGGAACCTTAAAATGCATTTATTAAGTGAAAGAAGCCAATTTGAAAAGGCTACATACTTCAGGGTGGAGCCAAAGTTTATAATTATTCATACGGAAAATAATGTAATAACACAATAAACTCTGTTTCAAATACTCACAACTGTAAGCCTACTTTGCCCCATCCTTATATGACATTCTGGAAAAGACAAAACTATGGAGGCAGTGAAAAGATCAGTGGTTGGCAGGGGTGGGGATGGGGGTGAGGGAAAGGATGAACAGGCAGAGCACAGATGATTTTCAGGGCAGTGAGTCTACTCTGTATGTTACCTGATAGGTACATGGGAGTCAAAACCCATAGAATGTACAGCAAGAGTGGATTCTAGTGTAAACTATGGACTTCAGGTGATTATGATGTGTCAGCACAGGCTTATCAATTGAAAGGAATGAACCACTCTGGTGGGGGATGGAGATAATGGGGAAGGCTATGCATAGGTGGGGGCCGCGAGTATTTGGGAAAGAGGTCTGTACCTTCCCCTCAATTTTGCTATGAACCTAAAATTGCTCTAAAAAATAAATTATTAAAAACAAAACTTAACACTAACCTAGAAATACACTATGTGGAAAACCCTGTGTGTGGAGTTAGGGAGAATAATTATTCAACAGAACTCATGTTTCATAAAGAAACCTATTTAAGCCGATGGTTTAAAAAACAGAGAGGAAAAAGCTAGCCAGCAATCTTCCTAACCTTGTGGCCTGTGAACAAAAAGGCATTCCCGGTTTCAAACGTATAGTCACAGAGTAGAATGAGTCAAAAAAGTATAAGCTATACTTAGAATGACAGAAAAAAGAACCAAGCATCCAATTTTTATGCTGTTTTATTTTATGAAACTTCTTAAAGTATGGTTTCCTTTTCTCTAACACACTCATGTGTAGCCCATAAGAGTTTCTCCATTACCATCAAGCTCCAAAGCACTCTTCTATTCTTAATTAGTGCCACCAATTCACTACAAAATGTTCACTATATTAATCAAACATGGCCCCCATAAGCCCATTGTGGGCCCTGCCACCACACACAACAAATGAGGGAATAACATTTGTTGATTTTCTCCAGAACAGTAAACATTACCACGTTATAGTAATAAAAGCAACATTTCATAAGAACTTCTAAATAAAGTTAAAGAGCTATGACCCTCAATAAAAGACTTCAATATTATATAGGTTTTGCAGAAA